GTTTTACAACGTCGTTGCCAAGCGACGAAAACCCAACCCCGATGGCAAACACCGCGGGGTGGGGGGGGGAGCAATCACACTGTCACAAGAAACCTCGCTGTTGTTGTTGTTGTTGATGTTGTTGTTGTTGTTGTTGTTGTTGCTGTTGTTGTTGTTGTTGTTGTTGTTTGTTGTTGCTGCTGATGTTGTTGCTGCTGATGTCGTTGCTGATGTTGTTGTTGCTGCTGATGCTGCTGATGCTGCTGCTGTTGCTGATTATGCTGTTGCAATCGTCGCGGTGTGCTTTTGCTTTCTCGCGAACCAGGAGGCGGTGTTCATTGTTGTGCCCCCCGCCGATACACATCATTTTGATTCTCCTACTTAATGATGACCGTATCTGAGCGGCTCTCACTTAAGACAGCGCAGCGTTGCTTGTGTGCTACTACATCTTGGATCATCAGGTGGTAGTGATCGCCGCAGTGGATTAGTGGTATCCTCGCAAACCGCTAGTCGCAGAGGTCGTGAGTTCGAATCCCGATGGGGTGAAAAATTTACGAAATGTGCGGGTGAAAGCGAAACATAGCTGACAAGCTCTCGTGAATACCAAACTTCGACGTTGGCATCGTTGACGAGGGAAAGAGACGGCTGGACCCTTCTCGCGATAGAAATAAAATTCAGCACGCACCGCAGGAGGAAGGTGGGGCATGAAAAGAAAAAAAATAAGAAAAAAGCCCTGGTGTTTATCCCCCTCCTGTGTGACCCTGGATGGTTGTAGTTGTACGGAAAAATACACTGAAAATGTAGTACTCTACATACGCTGAAAAGTGTAGTACACGTCTCACCACGAAAAATGGGGGGACTGTCGCCAAAATACAAAAGACGAAAACACACACACACACACACACGTCCAAACTGCAGGGAAAAAAAGAAAAACTCGAACACACTCGTGGTCGGGGTCGTCTTTCATTCAGCAAATGAGCATCGGAAAAAAACAATTATGTTTCTTTTTTCCCCTCCGTTCGCTGAAAAGATTGCTACCCAGCCCCTTCCGACTGTGGTTATACCTCGAACGCCCAAGTCTACCTTTGACTACTGTACATGTGCATTTCCTGCAAACAATACGCAGCCTACCTCTACAACCAAAATATGCGGGGGAGGAAGGCCTTCCTCCGCACAACCATCGAGGAAAACGCAAACAACCAGGAAAAAAAGAACACTACTGTACAATAGACTTACAACCAAGGAGGAAAGAACAATCAGGAAAAAAACAAACTCTGGACTCCCCCCAAATCACCGGGTCGTTTTCTCTCACCCCCTCTTTTCCTTGATCCAGGTCGCGTGCCCCCTCGTCCTCGTCCGGCTTCCCTTCACGGTAACCGCTCCCGGCGCTAAAGTCGTACGTCTCTTGGACTTCCAAAAGCCGCTCGTCGAGGGATCTCTGCTCCAGATCCAAGCTCGTCTTGACTAGCCCGTCGGCCGAAAGGGCGTCGAAAGCAGCGGCCCACGCTTCGTCGCCGCCGACTAGACCGGGAGAAAAGCGGACGAGTTTCGTGTGTGTGTGTGTGTGTTTTTTTATTATTAGCATCGACCGCGCTAACCGGCTGACCAATGAAAAGACGTCAGTCTTAGTGCGGTTGAAAACACAAAACACTTCTATCTACCATGAACTGGGACCCCGTGAGGGGGCAGCATGGGGGAGGCTAAACTATCCTTCGGATTAAAAACAGAAACAGCAGCAACAGACGAAAAATGCACGCGTCTACCAAGGCTATTACCTAGTACTCGAGTTCGTTTAGGAGTACTTTCACCAGTGTCCTCCTTGTTTTCGCTACCATCATTCTGATCCTCATTTCGACAAGAAGAATCTCTGGGCAGTTCTTCCCTAGCCCTACGTTTCTTGTTGTGGGGAAGGTCATCTGGCTCAAACCCTTTGCTCTCTTCCACTCCTCCATGTTTTTCTGCTCCATCGTCGTCATCCTCCTTTCTCCCCTTTCCCTTTCCTTCGTCTTCGTCACTCCCAAAAGAATTACCCTCATTACTATCGTTGTCGCAGAGATCCCAACCGATTGGCCCTGGTGGAAGTTGGTCGATCAGTAGCCCATGACGTTTGAACACATCGCGAGTTCGCATCGACAGAAAACGAGCAAGCTCGAAGGTAAACCGTCTCCGAATCCTGTTAGTATGAAAAGCTTTCAGGCGAACTAAGGCCCTCTCGTCGTCAAAATTTTCCCGGTGTGTGTGTGTGTGTGTGTTAGCATCGGCCGCGCTAACCGGCTGAACAATGAAAAAAGTGACAGATGTGTGTTTCTCAGATTAGCATCGACCGCGCTAACCGGCTGACCATTACAAGACGTCAGTGTTACTGCGGCTGAAACACGGAAGAAGGTGCTTCCTAAAGGCCGCTGCCTGCTTGCTCCATGGAATCTCGACATCAATCTTTACACGTTTCGGGATATTTTCTGGGTGCATCAGCCGGGGTCACACACGAGGACAGGCCACACAGGATAGATATGCTTTTCCTTTCGCTGTACTTTTTGCCGTTGAACGTCAAGTCTGTTGTTCTACGTGAGAGGACGCACAGACACAGCAGCAGGAAATTTTTCCTTATAATAATTTAATCAAGCTGGGCGCCCTTAACAAAACTGCTGCGTGCAGTTGGAGGTTTTGCTTATAGCGCTCAGTGGAGTGTAAATAAACAGACTACAATAGTCGAAGTGCCTGGGAGGCATTCAAGCCGGTGCGGTTTGTTTCTCTGGGGCCGCAAAGTGCTGGACGGCTGCAAACAAAACGGACCGTTGCTGTTGTCGTTGTTGTCTTAAGATAAAAAGCCGTTCCGACCTCTCTCTGCCCAGTACCTTCTTCTGTCCGTACTAGTCAAACACTTGACGGGGTCGATTCCCGTGGTCACAGGCTAACCTACCCCCAAAGGCGAGACGAAAATAAAATGGACCCGAAGGTCGCAAGCCAGTAAAAGACAGAAAGTCTAGGCCACTCTGCTCGCCTCTACACGCACTGAACAATATAAACGCTTTCCTACTCTCGCTTCTCTTGACACAGAGATTGCGGGGAGAATAGTGGGCGTGTAAAAAAACACTACGGCAGCAGCAATATAGTTCCGAAGTTTATGTTACTCCGACTGCGTCCTTCCCCACCTGTTACCCTGTGCGCACGCCGACACAGCCCATATACAGCAGTACCACATGCTTGTGCGCGCTTGCAATGATTTGTTGGCCCAGTTTATCTACGGCAGCTGACTGCCCGTCGGATAGTCTTTGTAAATTCGCGGTCAGAGCAAAAAAACCGACAAAGTACATACCTTGTGCACGTTGACTTCCCACGTTACTGCTCGCGGGTTCCCTGGGGGTTTTCATCAGTATCTGCACCCGAAGCTCAGCGGTGCCCTGTCGCAGAGACACCCAGGTGTCAACCGCAACAACCGGAGGAGGATGAGTAGTAATCACGCCGGCGTCACCATTACCCAGCGGCAGCAGCGGCGCGCCATCTTCCTCTTCCAACCACTCCAAGCGGTCTGTGGCCAGCCGGTCGCCCCCTGACCGAAGCAGCGGGACCAAGTCGACGGCTACATCGCCCAGCACTTCTTTCGATCTAAGGCGGCCGTGCAGCACGCGGAGGTGCAAGACCATGGATGCCCGAAGAACCCACGCTGCGGCCGCTGGCGGACAAGAAGATTTAGATCTCGGGGATGCTGCCTGTGGTGGTGGCGACGACAGCGGCGTGGCTGCCGGTGGCACGAAGTTGGAGGCGAACGGGTTCAGTGACTGAGTCTCGGCTTCGGCCACCGCGAAAGGGTTGAGGGATGACGACGACGATCGCTTGACAGCAGTAGCGGCAGGTGTTGCTGCTGCTGCTGCTGCCTTGTTTTTCCTAGCCGGTACTGCTGCAGCTACGGCACTCGGCCGTTCAAAAGTTGCACTTGATATCCAGGAGGAAGAGGATGCGGAGGAAGCAGCGGCCGCCGCCCCCGCGGTGGGGTTCGAGTCTCTTGGAGGCTTTACTGGGGCGCCCCTTGCAATCCCCTCAGCAGCACGGCAGAGATTGAGGTCGAACACGGCTACCCGCTCCCACGAAGGATGTTCGATGTTCCGGCAGCTCTCAGTTGTGTTGTGTACGCCGTCGATGCTCATCAGCGCCCAGACGGCGTCTGCTACCAGCACAGCAGGTTTGTCGTCTCCGTTCCTCTTCCTGCCCTTAGGAACCAGATGTCGAGCTTGGCACACTCGCACCTCGCATTGCCTCCGGTGCAGAAGCATTGGTCATGGGCAGGTGCAGAAGGCCTTTGGAAGGGCTGCACGTTGTTGTTGAAGCAGTTGTTGAAGGCAATGGTGATGAACGAACGCGCAAGAGACAGCAAGCACACGGAGGCGGCGAGATTACGAGAGGGGGCTCCGTGAATTCGACAGTTCTCTAGCAACCACCATGTTTCTTTGGGCATACCGGCCGACCAACATCTGAACAACATGACACGCCACATGCATTTCTAAGAAGCATTTGTGACAGCGCGCCCGCGTGCCACGTTGGCTGGGCGTTGCCTCTATCATCTGACACACACACGAAACATCAGCGGCAAGATGCCCAGAGAATGCTTTCCAGCAAGTTCCAGGCTGCACCAAAAGGCCCCGTGGCACATCCTCTCTTGTTCAATGCGGCGGTGGCGAAGAAGAGAAGAAGGCAGAGTTTTGTGCTGGGCATCATTCACGCCCGTGTGCGGGGCATGATTTTGTTGCTCACATCTTGCGCATCGACTTGGTATCGTGAATGATCACCGTTAGCACAGGGCGACATCACGTCTCGGCCAATGAGAAAACCCGAGGTTTGTGTGAATGCAAGAGTTCCAGGTAAGATATAGTAGCTGTCGCTAAAACGAGCGACAGCTGATAGATGTAACTGTCGTCAGACGTGTGCGTCCGCGGGAGGTGGAAGAGACCCTTTCTTCTTCTTTTTCTCTTTGCAATTCACGTCATTGGTTACCCGCGACGGCGCTGAAGACGCCCATGTCCGTGTACTTGACCCTCGTACTCTGTGCTAACTCCCCAAGTCTAACCTCTTCCTGCAGCCTAGCCTTCATCGTCGGCGAATTTCCAAGGTTACCAATCCTGTCGAAACTCATGGGCTCTACCATGAGGTCCACAAGTCTCTTCGCCCTACTGAGACAGACGAAAGTAAGCCCCGTGCAGGCCTCCTTGGGCCCCAAGTCAATGACGGCCTTGGCTAAAGTCTGCCCCTGGGACTTGTGCATCGTAATTGCCCAGCAGAGCCTAAGGGGCAGCTGCGTCCTGACCTGCGTCCCCCCGTCCTGCCAGGTGGTGTCGACGGGAGAAATAGGGACACAACGTCTATACCTCTCCTGAGACGACCATTCCCCCCCCG